CAGAATTTATCCCATGATTTCAACACTTCAGGCTGGTGTTTCATTCTGAGGTTCCAAATACCTCCACCTGAACTCACCATTAGGTCAGCTGCAGCAAATGTTGCTGTGCAAAAGGGAGACCATCAGCTTTGCTTGGGCAAATACCTTGACAAGCCCATTTAGGGAGGAGGTGAGACCTTGGAGGACATGAACATTAGCAGGCAGGCCAAGGTATCAAAGGACAGGAGGAAACCACTGGGGTGAGACAAGAAGAATCTGTGTATCCCCCAAAGAGAAGTGGGAAAGTGAAGGCAGGAAGATTCTAGAAAGCTGGGTTCCATGTGATGCAATTCCTGCCCTGTATCACGACCATGTCACAAAATCCCAAATGTCAACCACTCAACACTGATTACCTCTAACTGCTTATTGTGTATCTCCACTGAATGTCCTACAATCACCTCAAACTCAACACATCCAACACAGAACTGTATCTTTGTTCATCTGCTGCTTCTCCTCTGCTCTGCACCTGGGCGTACTGGTGCCATGAACTCCCCCCTCCTGGTATCCAAACAGTCTTGTATCCTCTGCCTCCTCCACATTTTTTATACCTGTCCCCTCCGCTTGTCCCCGCTGATACTGCCTTAGTCCTGAGAGATTTCTTTTTTCTCTTTTTAACTTCACACTGGAGATGACTGCAAACAGACGCTGGACTAGGATTAGTTCAGATCTACACCAACCAGACCGTTTGATGACTCGCGTGTGAGTCTCAACAATATAGAATGTGTTGATATTGGACCATTATGTTCTTAGGGCAAAGGTGGAGGTTCTCTAAGAGAATGGATTTTTCTCTATCAACTACTTGGGGAAAAGGAACAGGAAATAAGGCTTAGGCAGGCAGGCCTCAGATCGGAGTGAGGCCCAATTTGCCTTCTTTCTCTGGGGCCTTATGTGTGCTGGAGTGTGGCTCCTGGGTAGGACAGACATGGTTGAAGCCCTCTCACTGCAAGGAAGGAAGTTGGGTCTTTGAAATGACAGTGGTCTGGGAACTGGCTATGAAGCAGTCTGTGGGGACCCCCTGAGCATGGACCTAGACTTGAGCCAGGGGCCCTGGGTGTAGCCACGTTTCTGCAGTTGCAGAATAGAGAATATGTTGAACTGGGCCTCCATGATTCCTGACCTGGGATTGCAGGCTTTTCTCTACTTTCACCGTGGGGAGTTATAGGAAGAGTCTGTGCCCCAAACCAGCAGAAGTCAAGATGGGCAAGAGTGCAGCTTGAGGCAGGCCATACTGAGGGGATAGGAGCAGAATGGTAACAGTGGTCCATGGGAAGAACGGAGCAGCAATCTGGGACTAGAGGGACAGTTTAGGAGAGGAGGGATGACCAGAGCAGATTCACAGAACTTCAGAGTTTCACTGAGGATTTCCAGACATCTGTGGAATGGGGTCTTGGTAAACCCAATTTTCTGCATTCAAATGAGAAGAAGGCTCAAGCCATGAAGACCAGGTAAGGTCTCACAGAATGGTCGCATGTGTGTCCAGTGGATTCTGTGCTGAATATAGTTTCTAGGGCATCTCTGCATACTGAAAGTTCTGGCAGCTAGAAACGAAAGCCACTCACAGACAGAGGATGCTCCATCTCAGAGCACATGATTCCTAGAGCTTATGCCTCAGCCTCCCCCAGGAGGCAGCTCCCTGCCAGATGTGAGTGGGTGATGGAGTTACCTTTGCCCAACATCCACTGGCTACAGGCTTGAAGGCTACAGATTTTGGAGGGATGGGGTTACATGGCTTCTGCTAAGAGGTAAGAGAGTGGAGAAGGGGGCACAAGGAGGACGGGGCAGCCCCCTCCTATCACTAAGTACTAAAGCCTAAGGTTACATAGTTCAGAAGTGTCTGACAGAACAGCACAAGGGATAACAATCAGGGACTCCAGTCCTTCAATGGGAAAAAATTCTTTAGACGGCCTCAATCAGTAAACTTCGCTCTTATTCCAAAGTCCCCACCATCAGAGAACGTAGAGTGGTCACTTACAGAGGAGAAATTTAAGATGAGCGCTGCTTCTTAGTTCCAGTGCTGCTGAAATATTTACAGCAGCCACAAAGCACATAAATAGCTAAAGCTGGAGAAACAGAATGGATGAAAACTCTCCTCAAAATGCTTCTTATGGGAAACTGAATACTGAGATTTCTCAATTATCGGTATGAAGGTTTCAAGGGGGGAAGGCTCCAGGCCCCACACACTGGTATGGGATGGGGACCTCAGAAGATCAGTATCATAGAGCCAGGACGGAGATAGGCCCAGGACAGACCTTTTCCTTTGCCTGTTCTGGCTGAGAGTTTCACCCCAGCTCCTCAGTAGGTAAAGAATAGAGTTAGCACTAGATACATACTACACGCAATTTATAGTTACACAGACACTGTGCCTGTCAAAAGCAGTAAAAACAACCCACCCAACTGATGCGGGCTCTGCTACACAGCAGCAGAGTGTGTTGAGGGGGGGGAGGAGTGAAGGGCGGTCAGAAGGTGTATGGCCAGTAAATTCTACTCAAGATTAGGATAAATTTTCCTTGATTGCCAAGGCTACCATGAAATCAAAAGCCATTGGTGATCCAGCAGTACAGGACCTCTATTTCCTCTGGCATGCATGGGGGACACACATAGGGCACCAGAAGTGGGCTCACAACACACACACACACCAGCAGCCATCTCTTGGCATCTCCTAAGTCAAGGATGCGTTTGCTGACTATCTGCAGCATCCATACAGTTATATAATGCTAATTGGACCTGGATTCTGTAATTAATGTGTCTCAAAAACGGAGATCATTATGTTATTTCTCAGGGCATCATTGTTCTGTAAAAATTTTTTGTTAGCTCTTAGTAACAACAGTTAGTTGATTCTAAGAGGGTCTTGGCAACTCAGAGCCTTTGAAATCAAAGAATGAGAAAAATAAAGAGATATTCCTAAGTACTCAACTGGAAGGTGCTTCTGTTTTTACCCTCAGACCACATTGTGACCTACACATGGATCACTCTTGGAAAAACGTGTTCCCTCCTTCCAACTTCTTCCTTTCCTAGTAAGTGTGGTGTGACAGAGAGGTCACCCCAGGCTTAGTTATAACCACAGGTGACAGGAGTCATAATCCAAGGTGACAAGTAAGACCAACAGAAACTCTTCCCTGGGCCATTTCTTGAGATTCCAAGGACTTGCATACTCTGAAGCCTGCGCTCTCTCATCCTGGCAAAGGGCGACGAGGGACAGGATCCAAGGGTGACCTTTTCCACAGGCTCTTTTCAGGCATGATCAGGACTTTCCCCACCACTATGAGCACTTAGGCGAATGGGTAGGAACAGCAGCAGGTGGTGCAGGAGGCCATGAGAGGAGAAGTTCAGGGTGAAAATGAAAGAGGCAGCGGTGAGAGTTTACAGGGTGGCTTCGTCTTTGCTCGTTAACAAGTCATAGACCATATAGGTCTCCATGCTCCACACACCTCTTCAGAGACGTGATGTACAGCCCCTCCCCTGCCCTAGCTATCGGAGAGGAGTCTAGGGACAGTCTTGAGAAGGGAAGGGAAAAAGAAGTGAAGGCGTAAAAGGACAACATGCTCTCTTCGGGTACGCGGGTGTTTGAGGGTCAATGTCCCACACCCTGTCCCCGCCTGATGCCTCTTGCATTATTGCGGATCACATGGAGTGACTCAGGTCTTCCCCAGCACCCAGGAAGCCCACTATACTCTCCATGCTGTGCCACCTCCCCAAGGCCACCTCCTCAGTCCATGCCCACCCCCAAAGCACAGCACAAGTGCCCTGATTTGGTCACATCACAGAGAAAGCTCAGCTACTTTTCCTAGAACCGTCGTAGGTCCTCTTCTCCTGGAGTTCCTGCTGGCTTGGCCCTGACTCATCCCTGCCTATATGCACTGGGAGCATGAAGTTTAATTCTGTACCTTCCCAAAGGTCACCCAAGGAGCCAAAATCCTGATATCTTGCCTTTTACTTGCTGGGGGGAAAAAAATCACAACACTTTTTTTTTTTTTAATTTTGCCAAAGTCAGAATTACCCCTGGTGCAAATATCTTCAGCTAATCCAGAAAAATGCATCACACATCTCCGCATGTTTAAACTTTTCCCCATGTTTGTCCAAACGACACTGGAAAAACCCTCTGATGCCAACTCTTAGTCCAGCTCCTGATCATCTTCCTAGTCTAGATGTTGCCCTCATAAGAACCAGGTGGGCAGATGGTATCTGATCCTCCTAACGAGTCTCTGCATTTTAAAGCAGGTCTAGCCGAGGGCCAGAGAGAAAGTAGGAATCATAGGCTTGTAGCTGAGGTCAGGAGAACAGGGTGAAGGACGAGAAGCAAACAATGCTTCATCCCCACAGCCCAGGTAAGGAGAGGAGGGATGCGGACAAGGTAGAGAAGGGAGAGAAGGGAAAAGACTTGCTCCTGCCAGGACGGAGTCATCAGGAAACCAGGGCCCTGCGCCCAGCCTTCATGTTCTCAGGCCAACTATCTCACACAGGGAGGGAGGGGTCTGCCCAGCCCTGTTTCCCTGGAAAGCTGGAGAATCTGCAGTTTTCTGATAGATGGATGGAAGGAAGGAAGCAGAGGTCTTAGAAAGGGTTCCTAAACACCAAATGACAATCTTCTGATGTGCGTTGCAATCTGGGGACCTAAGCACCAGGATGCATGAGTTTTTTCCTGCGAGGGACCTGGTCCTGATGTTAGACTCTTCTTTACTGAGCACCCTTCCATAAAGGCCCAAGCAGTGAGCCTTTGGGACCTAACAGAAGAAGAGCAGACCAATGTTGTAATCAAAACAGGGAGTCAAGAGGCAGTTCTTGAAGGAGAGACGTGGGAAAACTTGGCCCACGGACCTCCTTAGTTCCCCGCAGACAGTGCTGCTCCTTCTGATACCCTTACAAACCGGCACGTCACGTGTCCCAGTGACCTGTGTTAACAAAACCTGCTAAGCTGATCAGAAGGAAAACATTTGTCTACAGTCGGGGCAAAGAGCACTTACCTCCATCCAAACTGGAGAAGCTCTGTGGGAACAAAAGCAGGGCAGAGCATTAGTACACATGCGGGAGGGGTGGGGTATAACCCCTCATTCATTTAACCGATCTCCACCCCTCCCCCCTCCACCAGACCCAGGCCCAGACTTTGATCACGGTGGGCAAACCCAATGCTTTCCTTTCTTCTGGGACATTCGTTTGGGATCCCAAAATTTAAGGGAAGGGTTTACCATTCTCTTTCCCATCCCATACCAAATTTCTTCCAATAAACATTTATTTCAATTATCCAGCAAATATCCTTGGTTGCACTGGAGAAGTGATATCAGAAAACCCCATCTTAAAATTAATTTCATTAGATTGTTTTTCTATCACCGATAGGTACTGAGGAAACAGGAGTTACAAAATGGAGGGCAAGTTCTGAGATAGAGACGTTTGGACTTTAGGGACTCTCTACTCTTTGCTATAATGGCACCATCTGCTTTTGTATGCAGTAGAATTTCATGTATTTACACTCTATGTATTTGGAATTCATGTCCGTTTGATAACGGTATTGCTTCTAGCCTTTTCAAAAAAGAAAGACTCAAAAGGCAAAGTATAATTAAAGCCACGGGGAGCTTGTTTAATTTGCTTAATAGGAATTGGTTTTAGAATTCTAGAGTCCAAAAGGAGAAGACTTTTCAGGCATGAGGTAGATGGGGTTAATTTAGTAATTCTTCTCTATGCTTCCCAGCAGGCCAGGTGGTCCCACACCTGAAGACAAGCCACCCACAGCTTCAGAGATGGCACATGGTCCTCTCACATCCGCCCCTCACTTCGCAGAGTTTGGCATTCAGATATCTCATCAATACCACGTGGACCGTCCTCCAGTGGGCACCATTTTGCCAGGGCTTATTTCCCCATGGATATAATTGAGAGAAAGCACATTTGTTTTCTTCACCTTCTGAAAGTCCTTGAAGGATTTTTCTGTCTCCTTTAGTTTCTCTAGGATGATCTGCTCTTTGGCAGATATCTGGGACTCTTCGCACTCTAGTGCTTGTATTTCCTGTTCCAGCCTGGAAAACACACAAACAGAGGACAAGTTACTTTATTGTCCTGCCATCTCTGGGCAAGAGAGCAGCTCCTTCCTGCTGCACCGTCCTGGCAGTCTCCGTTTTCCATTATGCACAGAACCAGGCCAAGGTGTTACATTACAGAGCACCCTATGTTTCCAGTTTTGCCACTGAGCAGACATTGGCCAAAGGAAAACACCCCAGAGGTACCTCTACTAGTTCATAGCCACCATTTTGCAATATGCTCTGGTGTCTCCCCTCCAACCCTATTAATGTGTGCATGCCTTATTTGGAGGTAGATTCTTCTTACATTGCATAGGACATAGCATCTGAAGGAAAAGGGCTTCACATTCTCCTAGGCATCTCAGAATAACTGCTCTTCTCTCAGGATGGCCAAAGGGCGAAGAGCCAGTCTTGCTCAAAGGAAATATCTTGCAAGAAATGGCTGATGGCCAATACCTGTGGCAGCGTGTTGTCCTCTCCCTCAGTGGCCTGGCTTTTACTGTCAGAAGAGGAGAGATGGAAGGGACAGACGCAACTGTCCCTACTCTTTGGAACTTCCCTCCGTTTTCATAGCCATCCTATATATTTTCTGAAAGGGAAATTTCAGCGCTGCCAGGAGACTCTGGGAATATTCCAGATCAGCAGCTACAGCTCTGATTTGGGGGAAGTCTCAGAAGCTGTATTCTTTCAGTGAAATGATAGTGATAACTTCTGGCTTTTGTTGAGCATTTATTCTATGCCAGGAACTGAGCTAAGAATTCACATGGATTATTTTAGCTAAACTTCCCAATGACTCTATGAGTAGGGAATCCCCATTCTATAGATGAGATCATTAAGGCCTGGCAAGGTTAAGTAACTAGTGTTACTACTGCAGAGCCATGAAGCAAGGATTCAAGCTAGGAAGTCTAACTCTAGATCTTGCTCCTAACTGTTGTGCTAAACTCTTATCACGTGAGTTCCACAGTACTTCACATATCCCCTACCTTTTTAAATACCATGTATGCTGGTACACTAGGGTGGCACTCTCACACAGCAGTGTCTGCAGGGGTCATGGAGGATAGACATTCCCCTGCCTAAAGGACTCCAGACTGCTGTGCCTCTTGAATTATTTGGTCTGAATTTGTTCATTCATTCATTCATTCATTCAGTCAGTCACTCATACATTCATTTTTCCTCTTAGTCTCTTTCCCCTATTGTGCTGGAAGCTTGCTGCTGAGTCTGGACCTGCCTTTACCAATCCTCTCCCTTACTCTCCTCCCCTTCCATCTTTTAATCGACTCCTGGGAACTGGCTAACCAAGTCCATCAGACTTAGACCTAAAATAAAGAATTCAGAGCGAGATCTTCTGAGAGGTAAGGAACACCAAGATATAGGCATGGATTTATTTAGGGACATGCCCCTCAGAGGCATTTTCTGTTTTCTTCCTGGGTGTCAGAAAAATGACCTCTGGAGGGATGAGACTTTGCAACAATTACTCTGCTTTAAGAATACAAACTTATATCCAAATGTACCCCCTCCACAGCGTCGGACACAATTACCATTTCACTCAGAGTGAAAGTGGAAGTCTTATAACAACTTATATGGCCCTATAGTATTTGGCCGCACAGGACTTATCTGACCCCGCTCTTACCAACGTGCCTATCTCACCCTTTGCTTTACTCACAAAGAGCTACTCTTGCTCACCCACATGTACCCTTCTTTTCCCTCCTCCAGGAAACTCATTGCAAACCCTAACCATGCTTGACATCTTGGCTCTGATGCCACCTGCCTCATGAGGCTTTCACAGATTCACCACCAGGTAATAACGTCACCCTCCCTGAACATTTCTTAGCACATTATTTTGACTTATCAGAGGTCTTTTCAAGTCTACCATAGGTTAGAGCAGTGGTTCTCAACTGAGGTGATTTCTGAAAGGGAAATTTCCCTGGGGAATATGTGGCAAGAGATATTTAGTTGTCCATAACTCAAGGAAGGTGGGGCTGGTGTTACCAGCAACCAGTGGGTAGAGGCCAGGGGTGCTGCTAAACATCCTCCAATGTACAGGACAGACCACAATGCACAGTTCCCCACCACAAAGAATTAGCCGGCCCCAAAGAGTAATATAAATTATTAATTTCCCCTACTACATTATAAATTCATCAGGGGAAGGGCGCATATGCTCAGTACACATATGTTGAATAAATTAAAAAAGATGAACCAAGTTGCACAAATATGTGGCTCAGCCAAGATAAGACCTCAGAACTTCTGAGGCCAGGGCTGCGTGGGCTGAGATGCAAACAGAACCTAGAGGAGGGGGCCAAGTGACACAGAGATATAAACATAGAGACAGAAAGCTCCTTTGTTGTTCCAAATGTTCAGCAAAATCTTCTGCACACATCTGTGTAAGTTATTGGGGGGTAGGGATGGAATCAAGGAAAGGGACCTGAGTGTGGAATAGGGACAACACACTTGAGATGAATAAATGATCCATAAACTGAAACAATGGGTAGAAGAGCTTTGGCTAGAGGTTTTTTGGAGAGATTGGATGATACTTCTGACCAGGTGGGTTCCGAGTAGATTTTACTTAAATCTCAAAGGACAGAGTACTCCAGCAGATATTTAGAATGTGTGGTAGATTATATTGATCTCAAAAATATTCCCTCCCTTCCTCCTTTACTCCCACTGATGGTGGTCTTGGCCATGTGATTTGCTTTGGCCTCATGGTGAATGGGATACACTTCCCTGTCCCTTGATTTTGGCTCAGCCGTGTGACCTGATTTAGGCAATGAAATGTTAACAGACATGACACAAGCAGAGCTTGGAAGGTGCTTGCCCAGTTGGGCTTGTCCTCTTGTACCTTTGCCAGCACCAAGAGAAGAGCTTCTCTGGGCAAGAGCTGCCCCTTCAGCCTGGGCCTCAGGAAGAACACCCAGGGAGTAGACCTGAGCCCAGCCCATAGTCGGATGGTATGCCCAGTCAGAAGGCATGCCCAGTCAGAGCTGCACCTTAAATTAGAGCTGCTCAACAGAGGCCAGCCTAGATCAGCCAACACCCAGCCTATTACAGAAGTGTGGGCAAGAAGAAATGACTTTTGGTTAAGCCACTGAGTTGGAGGGAGTATCTTAATAAAAACTATCCCAATTATATATAATATAAACATACATATAGATATATATCTGTATATGTTTACATATCCCAATAATACCTGAAGCTAAAAGATTAAAAATAACATGCTACCTTCTCCCCTTCCCCTAATCCTCAGAGAAATCTGGAGGGAAACAGGGAATAAGATTCCTTCATGAGGAATAAGATTGAGAAAATAGGAAGATATATCAGTGGTAGCTGTCTCTGGGTAATGAGATTATAGGTGAGTTTAATTTTGTGTCTGTAAATTTCAATATTTTCCCAATTAAAAAAATCCATTTACTACTTATCGCACCAAAATAAAAATGCTTTTGAAAAATACCTCCTGAGGCCCAGTGCTGAGAAGGCAGTGCTCACAGGCTGTGGCACAGGAGAGGGGCTTCCTGGGTGTCAAATGAAGGTATGAGGTGGGTGCCCACCCACGTCCATCTGAATTCAGAACCAACATTTACTGAGCTGATTTGGCTGGACTCCGACCTAGGTACTACAGGGGATTCTAAAATAAACAAGATCGTGTTAAAAATGGCTGCCAAAAAAAGACTATCTCTACATAACTCGCTTCTGGTGTTGAAGCAGCCTCAGGTGGTAAGGAATTCTCTGTGACCCGATGCCCAGTGGCTGGCCTGCCTGTCTCCACAGCCTGCCCCAGGCCTTATGGGTTTCAGGGCTCTCAGCTATATAGTTCAGGTGCTGAAGATGTGGGTCATGATACTGCGTAACTGAGAGGGAATGGAGAGAGAGAAAAAAACAGCAATGAAACTAAACCTTTGTGATAACAACTGAGTTTCACCCCAATGGAAATGAAGGAAGGAAATGGACAGTTTATGTAAGTTGGATCCAAGCAGCAGATTTTTCTACAAATGCACACGTGGCCTTGAACCAGGTCGTGAGGGCGCTGGATGGCTGAGGCTGCTGTCTTTCTCAGGAAAACCTGAGTCCTGGGGCTCTGGAGCATCCCAAAAAACTGTCATGGGCTTAACAGTCATCACAGGTGAGCTAGAGATGCCACCGTTTTGTAGTTTCATGACTGAAGTCTCATGCAGTCTTCTCTGGAGGAGCCAAGTAGATATTGCTGTGCTAAAAATAATAAACGGGCAGGAAGCATAACTTATATGCAAGACTAATTGAGGCTCTTTAGGCTGTGACAGGTGCACGTAGCAGCAGCCTCTGACCGGCTTGCTCAGTTCCTCCTGAGCAAAACGCAGACCATAATAAGCTGTAAGGAAAGGTGACAAACTGCAGCAATACTGGTTTAATTAACTGGAGCTGAGGCTGCCATCATGGCTGAATAGTCTTATAAAATCTCCCTAACCCCAACAGACCATCCTCCCAGGAAAATACAAAGGGACTTTGGCTCCATGATGTGCACTGATCATTCTCTTATTTGCAAATTCATTTATACATTCATCCATCCAACCTGATGCAAACATTTCTTTGTACCAGCCTCTGCACTGAGAACCAGGGACAGAGAGATGAATCCAACACAGTGTTTGCTCATGAGAACTCTTGGCCAACCAGTGAGAATGGCCATGAGAACTCATAAATTACAATATAACCTAAAGACAGTGATAGGAGGAAAGAAGGATGTGTTGTGGCATGTTGAGGAATAGTCAGTTCTGCCTGGGAGTGTGTGGCAGGCACTCCCAGTTGTCTGCCCAATATCTCCTCTCCTCCTCTTCTGCTATTTATTTATTTTTTTCCTGGTTGGTCCATGGATCTGAACCACTGACCTTGGTTCTCTTCCTCTGTACTAATAGAATCCTTATTTTGTTGGGGATGGTGATGTGCCCAGCTGAAAAAGTACATATCCCAGTTTCTGTTGCAGATAAAGGTGGCCATGGGACAGCTCTGGCCAATGCGAAGGGAGGAACTTCTGG